TTGATAGATAAAACAAGCCCACTGAAGAGAAGCACTCATGCAAAAAATATATATTAGCCCCACGAAGAAGAATAATGAGAAGCCACACATGAGGAAGAGTATGGAGACAGAACCAGTAGATGAATTGGTAGCCCCTAAATAAGAAAGAAAAATCAGAAAGACAGTACCAGTCTTTTTAAATGACAAGGGAGGAAAATAAAGAAGAGAATCATAAGAAGTGAATACCTACGCAAGGTGACATCACTATTGAGGGTAGACTCGGGCTCCCACACTTAGGCTCATACTTGCTCGGCTGCAGGCACTGATGTAGACGTGAAGGGTCCATTGGATGTCCCGGAGCAGTAGAAACTGGGTTTGAAGTGAGGGAGGGATTGCCTAGCTTCATCTTATTTCTCCCGCACTGCTCTCTGGTCTGCAGCGCTCCAGGACGGGATGTCTCCTCTCAACATGGCCACCTCCCCTCAGCCACTCACCACCAAGGTCGCCAGTTCCGAGAACAGCAGCGCCTTCTATGACTACGAGTACTACTTGGACCAAGCGGCCTTCATGCCCTGCATGAAGGATGAGGTGCTGGCCTTTGCCAAAGTCTTCCTGCCTGTCTTCTACAGCCTGGTGTTTGTGCTGGGCCTGAGCGGGAACCTCCTGCTCCTAGTGGTCTTGCTCCGGTACGTGCCTCGCAGGAGGATGACTGAGGTCTACCTGCTGAATCTGGCCATCTCCAACCTCCTGTTTGTGGTGACCCTGCCCTTCTGGATCACCACCGTGGCCTGGCACTGGGTCTTCGGGAATTTCTTGTGCAAGATGGTGAGCGCTCTCTATACCATCAACCTCTACAGTGGCATCTTCTTCATTAGCTGCATGAGCCTGGACAAGTACCTGCAGATCGTCCACGCCCAGCCCCACCACAGGCTGAGGCCCCGGGCCAAGCGCTGGCTCCCGGCTGTCATCGTGTGGGCGCTGGCCCTGGCTGTCTCCATCCCTGACATGGTCTTTGTGCGGATCCATGAAAACCACGAGGGTGTGTGGAACTGCCATGCGGATTTCGGGGGGCATGGGACCGTCTGGAAGCTCATACTCCGCTTCCAGCAGAACATCCTGGGGTTTATCCTTCCACTCTTCGCCATGATCTTCTTCTACTCCCGCATCGGCTCCGCCCTGGTCAGGCTGAGGCCCCCGGGCCAGGGCCGGGCTCTAAAGGTAGCCGTCTCCCTCGTGGTGGCCTTCTTTGTGCTGTGGTTCCCGTACAACCTCATCTTGTTCCTGCACTCACTCATGGACCTGAGAGTCTTTGGGGACTGCGAGACCAGCAACTACCTGGATTATGCGCTGCAGGTCACAGAGAGCATAGCCTTCCTTCACTGCTGCGTCACACCCATCCTCTACGCCTTCTCCATCCGCTGCTTCTGCCAGTACCTAAAGGCTTTCTTGGCCGAGTTGTTTGGACGGCGCCAGGGACCATGCCCTGCCCAGGCCCCACTGTCCAGCTGTTGTGAGAGTAGCGGCCTCACTGTCCAAGAAGAAATGACCAGCATGAATGACCTTGAGGTGGGGCAGGCTGAGGACTCCCTCAACAAGGGGGCTGTCGGGGGAAATAAAGCCTCAGCGGCCACGCCACAGTCTGGTGAGAGCGGAGGGGACCCAGCTCAGCTGGACATCCACCCAGCGTCTTCTCTCCAAGGGCCCCCGTGACCACGCTGCTCAGCCCAGAGCGCAGTTCTCAACCCTCAGCAGCACCGCTCACTCCTTCCAGGACATCATACTCCCTGATCTGCTGCGGTGGTTGCCCAACTGACCTCTGTGTCCTATGGTCACCGTCTCCTATCATCTCATCTGCACCCGGCAGCCAGAGTGGTTGCAACACCTTCGGCCTTCACTGCCATCTCCCTCCCAGAAGCCTGCGGCCTCCCACCCACCAGGCCGCTCCTGACCCTCTCGTTCAGCTGGGGAAATCCTGGTGGTGTTTTGTTTAATGCGGCAGCCTTGGTGGTGGCCCCGGAGCCTGGCAGTCCGGAGGCCCTGGAGATGCAGCACCTGGGGACCTGCTTAGGGGGAAAGGCAGGCGCAGGCCTGCCCCCTCCACCTGGGAAGTGTGGCGAGGGCATTCACGGCAGTTACTACCTAGGAAAACATCTCTTTTCTTCCCGGGGAGCCTGGAATTCACCAGGGGCACGACATTCCCGACTGGCTTTGTTATAAGCTTTCCTCACAGAATACACATAGTGGGCTTTTCTCTGAGAGAGAGAAAATCTGGTGCAGAAATGAGAGCTGCTGGGTCAGGACAGGTCTGTCTTCCTACTGTGCAGCGGTGGGCATTGGCCTGTAAGTGCACTCTTTAATTCTGGGAACTCACGGCTTCCTGGGAGGCCTGTTGTTACATGGACATCCTTTGCTGTGGGATGGGAATCTTGTATTTACTTCATACCTGATCACTGAGGCTTCCCTCAGTCCCCCTACCCTCACAGGTCACAGGATCCATGAAGTTCGCTCTCATTTGAGACTCTTGGCCCTGACTCAGTGGACTGGAGCCCTCAGCCCTTCCCCAGCCTGTCCACAGGCCAGGCTCCTGGCCCGTGGTCGTTGGGGTGTGGGGGGGAGAAGATGGGACGTAGCACCCAGGTCTGGGCAGGGACACGGAGG